ATTGAATTTATTTCCGGCACCTTTGGCTAGCCGGCATTTATCCAACTACATGTCCAGTCATACCGATGCTTTTCGATGGGCTAGGTGTTGCAAAAAGGGGGAAAATGACAAATTTTTTAAAATTAATACAACTACTTTTGTGTTTTAAGTAAAAAATAATCTATGCAAAAAAAATTAATAAAATTTTGCTTTCAAAATAAATATGGTCATCATTAATAAAATGCAAAGTAGAGCCTGATATAACAAGTAATACGTAGCAATGCTGACAAGACACATACGTATTGCAATTTCTTATGATTTATCAAATAAAATTTGATTTTCCGAAGATCTTTTTTTTTGTTGATTTCAGCCCAAATGCATTCTTAAATTCTTCGTATGATTAAATGCTCATATGATTAAATGCATGCTATTTGTTCCTGAAAATATGTGTACATCGCATGACGTACATTTGTCCCATTTTGGAACCCAAAATGTCAATTTAACACGATTTTCAAATATAATATTCTGTTTATCATGCAATATGACCAATCATACATCATTACAAAATAATATTCTAATATAAGAAATGTTATCTTTTGAACATATCAAGAAAGCGATTTTATTAATGAACTTTAACTCTCAGCCCTACGCAAAGTAGTGTTGTTAAAGTGATCTAAAAAAAAAATTGTAATGACCTTTCAAATAACTTGAAATCGAAATTAATATTTTTGTATAATTAATATTTTTGTATCATTTAAGGGGAAATTACAAATAAGGGCCCAAAATTGAAAATAATTACAAATAAGGGCCCAAAATGAAAATAATTACAGATAGAGGCCCGATATTTTAAAAATTATTACGAATAAAGGCCCAAAATAATTCTGCGCTTAAAGACCCGTGGCTTTAAGTCCCGTAGCTTAATAACTCGTATGATAATTAATGAATACAAATTCGAATGTGTATAAAAAATGTACATTTAGTCTATTTAATTCGCTATTTATCACTATCTGCATTGTAGAATTATTTCTTGATTCAATACAAAAATTCCTGGAATATTTTTTAAAAATTTATTTATAACCATCATGTCAGATACAAGTTTGATAACAAAAATTTGCCGTCACCTACAATCAGACAAGCAGAACAGTCACAACAAACTCGTTTATGTAGTCGTGAAAAACAGCACCCGAAAACAAGGTCACTTTATAGTAGATATAATAGGAAAGGTTATGTATGATTCACATATATACAGTTGAAGATATAGAAATAGAGGGTCCAGATTACATTATGAGTAATTTTAGCTAAGTAAATCGAACTGAAACGATGATATGCTCCCAGAAAATTAGCAAGTGAGATTGCGCCAGGTATCATCGTAACAGTAGAATGAGCGAGAAGTAGAACGAGCGAGAAGCAGCATCAGCCGGTGGTTTCCCGCCTGCTCGAAGCAGGCCGGCTGTTAAATAGGAAAATGGCAGAATCAGGAGACTGTCCAATGTTCGGGTATCGAGGATTCTGTCATTGTCCTTTGGCTGTCGTGACTGGGTTATGTAGGATTTTTTTTTTTTTTTTCGTATGTTGTGTCACGTGCGCTGCGCTTGCAACTGACATTTGGCTGTCGTGACTGGGTTATGTAGGATTTTTTTGCAGGTGTTGTGTAGTTAATCTGATGCGGTTGGTCGTTCGAGGTGTTGCGATTGTGGGTATTGAATGTAGTTATGCAACTGTGGTTTATTTATTTGAGCTTGATCTTAGTCTGACTTAATATATTTTCGAAAATCAATGATTATTAGTATTATTATTATTATTTATTATTATTATTATTATTCGAAAGAATAATCATTATTATTATTATTATTATTATTTGTAATTGTGGCGTTCGACGGCCATTAATAGGGGGTGAATATGAGAACGGCTCAATTACTGTATGCTTTTATCAATATTGCCGCTATTGTGGCTGGGTGGGCCCGGATGTATCTGTAGAATGTGTCTGAGCTCCATCTACCTATCTTTTGGACTAATATAAGTTGGACCCCCCGCATGACCAGTTCTGTTGTTCCCCCGGCCCTGAAACTGTGGCCAGCGACGTCCTCTGATGGTAAGGCTCGTTTGAGCTTGTTGATGAAATATCGTTTTGTTGCCCATGATCCATCGGCCCTGACGAATAATAGGTCTGGGAGGCTGATTGTTGAGGTCAACCTGTGGACTACGTACGCTTTCAGGGCCTCTACTGGGCATAGATCGTCGTATGTTGGATTAATAATGAGTGATGTGCGCTGGGCGGTGTTGTGGTTTTTGGTGCGTGCCAGTTGAATTGTGGCGAACGTGTGTTGATTGATTTCCTCGAATCTTAGTGCTCTGAATGTTGGTACCTTGTTTTGGTCGTGTTGTGTTGTTGGAAGGAGTTCCCCTAACCGTGCTAGACCATAAAATGCTGTTGTTGCTATTGCCCAGAAAGCCTTGTCATCCCATTCATTCAGGTTTAGATTGTTTTTCAGTATTCGCAGGTGGTCCCGCGTTATGTGTGATTTTTGGTTAATCGGCTTGTGCACGTGATTTTGTCGATAGTTCTTAACAGCTCTGTTACCAGGGGATCATTGCGCGTTTCTGTCCATTTGAAATGATTCATTTTGTGGTGGTGTTTAAGTGCTTACAAGTATGATAAGAGAGTTGGAGGTGAGACTTTGTTGTGCATGTGTGTAATAAAGTTGACG